TGGTGTCTGTCCACTGTATCGTGTTGTATTTATTTGTCCGCGTTTGGGCCTCTTGGGTTTCTCTTTTAATGCGCTAATTCTGGTTTTCACATATATTCAGCGCCGGATGTCCACAATGTGGATGTAATGCAATGATTTTGTGTATGAAATAATCAAATTTTCAATGCTTTAAAACAGGGTGGATTTGATTTAAATCCAAGAGCCTTGGTAGTACAGTGGTCTAAGGCACCCTGTTATTAAGCTGGTTATTAAGACCAGCTGCCTGCAATTACTGCAGGGTTCGAATCTCGCCAAGGCTCAAGGTTGACTCAGCCTTCCATCCTTTCTAAGGTAGGTAAATTGAGGACCCAGTTTGTGGGGGCAATAAGCTGACTTTGTATAAATATACAAAAGAATGAAGGCTATTGCTTAGCGCATTGTAAGCCACCCTGAGTCTCCGGAGAAGGGCGGCATATAAATCAAATTAAAAAAAATATATGAATAGCCTTGAAAAGCTTGTTAAAAAACGATGGGCTCCGTCTGTTTAGATTACATTCTTAACAGAAGAAGAGAATGAGAGAGTTGGAAGGGACCTTGGAGGTCTTCTAGTCCAACCCGCTACTGAAGCAGGAGAACCTCTACTGTTTCAGACAAATGGCTGTCCAATCTCTTCTTAAAAACCTCCAGTGATGGAGCATTTACAATTTGTGGTGGCAAGCAGTTCCGCTGGTTTATTGTTCTCACTCTCAGGAAATTTCCTCCTTAGTTCTAGGTTGCTTCTCTCCTTGATTCATTTGCATCCGTTGCTTCTTGTCCTGCCTTCAGGTGCTTTGGAAAATAGGTTTACTCCCTCTTCTTTATGGCAACCCCTTATGATCGGGGTGGGGAACAATGTCCCTTTTTTGATTTATGGACTTCAACTCTCATGCTGGCTCAGGAATTCTGGGAGTTGAAATCCACAAGTCATCAAGGGGCCATCATTTCCGACCTATTGGAACCTATTAGATATTGGAACCTATTACTTACCGTTTCCCCGAAAACAAGACATCCCCTGATAATAAGCCCAATCGGGCTTTTGAGCACATGCGCTTAAAATAAGCCTCCCCCCGAAAATAAGCCCTCCCCGAAAATATTTAAACACAGAGCTGGAAATCAGGTAAGACAGCAAGAGGAGCCCCATTTTCCTCCCTCGCTGCTCCGATATTCCACCGATTGGGAAGGTTCCACTGTCATTGGACTGACTGAGTGCCATTCAAACTTCCTCTACAGCCTGGTCACGCCCCTTTCTTCTGTGCATGTCCAGTCTTTTCACTCAGTTACAGGTGATCAGACTGGTGTGCCTTTTGTTCTTAGATACAATCTGTCAATTTGCCTTAAACGGTAGAGTTTTTAGCTGTTTTTTTGTTCGGAGAGTTGTGGATTTAAAGGGATACAATAATTTAGCGCTGAGCAGCTTCGGCGTTTCCCGGCTGGGGCGCCAGCTGTCTTTGATCGTTTTGAAAGAAATACAGAAAGTAGCACTACACGGCTTCGGCGTTTCCTGGCTGGGGCGCCAGCCGCTTTTGGGCGTTTTTCTGACGCGCCCCAAAATAATAAGACCTCCCCGAAAATAAGGCCAAGTGTTTATTTCGGGGTTCAAAAAAATATAAGACAGGGTCTTATTTTCGGGGAAACACGGTATTAGATATTGGAACTAGAGGTTGTATTCAACCGGTTTGGACCGGTTCGGGAGAACCGGTAGTGGAGATTGCGGGTGGGCCCATCCACCTGCCCCGCCTTTATGCCGTCTTATTTAGCCTTTTTTTTTTTTTTTTTTTTTGAGGCCATGCGCATGCACAGGTGCGTGCACAAAGCGAGCGTCCGCGCGGACGGCGAACCAGTGGTAAAAAATAAGTGAAACCCACTGTTGATTGAAACACTTACGTTATGAGGTTGTTTATGTTAGGATTTAATTTATTTTGGTTTTAACGGCAGTGCAGATTTCTTATCATTTTCTTGGCGTACCTAGTCCATCACCAAGAACCACGAGATTGTGGTGGGACGTCTTATCTCTCAATCAATGGAGGTCCATAAAATGGGACTTGCTTAATTCTCTCTCTCAAGGTCTGCCTGGCTTTTGGGGTCGGGATTTTTATGGGATGGGACGAAGTTCCTTCTTTGTTCTCAAAATGCCCGAAACCGTCTTTTGTCTTCTAATTAAGTGCAATTTTTCCTTTGGGAGGAAAATGTTTGTTGTTGCACATCGTAACTCCTGCATTCAATTAGGCGGAAAGTCCAGCTTGCAACAGGTTTAAAAAAGAGAATTTCTCTTGTGTGAGGTAGATGGATATGAAGAGGAGAAAGGTTGATGGGATTAGTAATTTCCCTGTTAGGAGAAGACAAGGCATTTATTAACATTATAGGTAGGCCTCACTTCATTTAGTGACCATTTGAAGTTAGAATGGCCCTGAAAAAAGGGATCATTTTTCACACTTAAGACCATTGCAACATCCCCGTGGTCACATCATCAAAATTCAGACGCTTGATAATTGACTCACAGTTATGACGGTTGCAGTGTCTCCGGGTCGTGTGATCTTTTGCGATCGTCTGACAAGCAAAGTCAGTGGGGAAACCAGATTCACTCCACAACTGTGTCCCTAATTTAACACCTCTGCAGTGATTCGCTTTACAACTCTGGCAAGAAAGTGAGGCAAAACTCACTTAAGAAAAAAACGTTTTGCTTAGCAACAGCAATTGCGGTCGTAACTTTGAGGAATTACCTGTATTTTGCCGAGCAGCGCACAGCAGCCTTAGGATCTTGTAATATAAAGCTTCTCTTTCCAACTTTGGGTTTTAGAGTTTAAAAAAAAAGGCAACTTTGCTTATGGAATCCCTTCCAAAAAAATGTATAAATTGGTAAGCGGGCATATGCCAATGATTTGCCATAAAGTTTTTTTTTTTAATGGGAAGCCGGTTTTTTAATTGTGGATGAAATTATGTGCAAATAATACCCAGAACAGCATGTCCCACTTAAGGGAAAGGGAGATTAAAGAGCATATAAATTGAGGTAGTAAGAAAATGAATAAATTATAGCCCAGGCGTCTCTGGATAACGTAATAATTTCCTTAGATTTCCTTTGCATGACAACATCTGCGCTGGCCAGCTGTTGCTGAAGGACTGTAACACAACCTTGTTTATCTGTGTCTCTTCAAAGTTGAAGCCTTTTTTTTTTTTTAATCGCCACAGTGATTTTTCTCAAAATTAAATGCCCTTAACAAATTGAGCTCAATGCGATGTCTCTCAAAGAAACGAGAGTGCTAAATACTTCAAGGTGTTACATACCTGCCATTGCCCGTGAAAAATATTAATTAATTGCAGTTTTTGTTCATTACCAGAAATGTTTAAATAGATTTCGTATTAGAGTCCGCTGTTAAAAAAATAAGAGCGTGAGGAAATTTGTGGTGAGGCTTTGTAAAGTCAAAACAAAGTTAGCGTATAAACATTTTTCTCCCTCCCTCCCTTCTGTCCCTCCCTCCCATCGTCCTTCATTTCTTCCTTCCCTCTAGTTCTACTTCCTTCCTCCCTCCCTTCTTTCCACTCCTTCCTTCCTTCCCTCTCTTAAAGAATACAGAATAATAGAATTGGAAGGGACCTTCGAGGTCTTCTAGTCCAGCCCCCTGCTCAAGCACGAGACACTATACCCGTGATGGTGAACCTATGGCACGCGTGTCACAGGTGGCACACGGAGCCATATCGGTGGGCATGCAAGTGTTGCCCTAGCTTAGCGGGAAACGGTCTGTTTCCAGCCTCCGGGGGGTGGGGTGGGGAAAGCCGTTTTCGCCTTCCCCAGGTTCCTAAAAAGGCTCTGGAGCCTGGGGAGGGCGAAAAAATGGGCCTACCGAGCCCACCGTGCCATCACGTGTGAAAAGTGGGGTGAGTGCCGGGGTCGCACCTGCATGTGCGGGGGGGGCGGGGCACAATGAATTATGGGTGTAGGCACGTGCACGAGCGACCCTCCCACACTCCCCCCGCTTTTGGCACGCAACAGCAAAAATTTTAGCCATCACTGCCCTATACCATGTCAGACAAATGGCTGTCCAGTCTCTTCTTAACCCCCCATCCCCCAGTAATATAGCAGTCACAACATCTGGTGGCAAGCTGTTCCACTGGTTAATTGTCCTCACAGTTAGGAAGTTTCTCCTTAATTCCAGGTTGCTTCTCTCCTTGATCAGTTTACATCCTTTGCTTCTTCTCCTGCCTTCAGGTACTTTGGAGAATAATTTGATCCCTCCCCTCTTCTTTGTAGCAACCGCTCAAATACTGAAATGCTGCTTCTAGACTAGCCAAACCCAATTCCTGCAACCGTTCTTCATATGTTTTAGTTTCCAGGCCTTTAGTAGATGCTCTTCTCCGCGCTTTTTCCAAAGTCTCAACATTTTCATAACGGGGGGTGACCAAAACTGGATGCGGTATTCCAGGTGTGGTCTTACTAAGGTTTTATAAAGCGGTACCAGAGGTGGTGTTCAGCCAGTTCGTACCGGTTCGGGCAAACCGTTAGCGGCAACTGTGCCTGCCCACCCGGACATAATGCCATTCTATTTAGCCACATTTTTGAGGCCAGGCGAATGCACGGAAGATGCAAAGCACATGCGAGGAAGGCCGGGTGTATGTACGGAAGGTGCTCGTGTGCACAAAGCGAGCTCGCACACGGGCGGCAAACCAGTAGTAAGCATAAGTGGAACCCACCGCTAGAGCGGTACTAATACTTCTTGTGATTTTAACTGTATCCCTCTGTTTATGCAACCAAGGATTGCATTCACTTTTTTGGCTGCCGCCGCACACCGCTGACTCATGTTTTAGGGCTCCAAGATCCCTCTCACAGTTAACTGCCTTTGAGCCCGGTTTCGTCTAACCTGCTCCTTGTACATTTTGGGTTTTCCCACCTAAGTGTAAAACCTTTACTTTTTCTTCTTTTTTTTAATGTGCTTGTTTAAGTGGAACCAGCAAAGTAAAACCTACATTTTGCTCTGTTTGATTTGCAGCCCTACTGATTTGAAGATTCGACTTTCACGCAGTTATCCTCCTCAAGAGACAGATTTTGCCAAGAATACGGGGTAAGCAGATCAGACGCTAAGATAATCAGTCTTCAGAAACAACATGGTGCGACCCTGCGATTCCCAAACCGCGTAAAAGTGTAGTAGCTCAGTAATAAAAGATGGGAAACAAAGCAAGCATGTGAATGTTCGTTATTACGTTTTGCTTGTTTGTTTTTAAATGGATTTATTTAATTCCGTATCTATGACCGCCCACCTCACTAAGTGACTGTGGGCAGCAAACAGGTTTTAAAGTACTTTCAATTATTATTATTATAATAAAACTAGTTGATAACCCGGCGTTGCCAGGGTATACCAGAGGGAGCCCCCTTGTGGAGTACTGTGAAGCCATTACCATGGCAACTCCACTGTGCTGTACAGTAGAAGCCATTTTAAGGCACAACAGGCTGTATCTTAACAGAATTTGAATCCAAAATGCACACTTATCATCGTCAAAAGTACTGGGATTTGACAGAACAGAACAGAACAGAATAGAATTTTTTATTGGCCAAGTATGATTGGTCACACAAGGAATTTGTCTTGGTGCATATGCTCTCAGTGTACATAAAAGAAAAGATATGTTCATCAAGAATCATAAAGTACAACACTTAATGATAGTCATAGGGTACAAATTAGCAATCAGGAAACTATCACAGTGTCAATTCATTCCTTTTCACTTCAGCAGCCCAGGCATTTCAGAGTTATGCTGGAACATATGCACACAGACAAACAGAGACACCCCTCCCCCAAGGGGTGTTAGGGGTGTCTTACCCCCACAGTATTTCTTTCCAGAGAGTAACTCATCTGTGTACCAAGTTTGGTTGAAATTGCTCGAGGCATTCCAGAGTTATGCTAGAACATACACACACACAGCCATTTATAGATAGATAGATAGATAGATAGATAGATAGATAGATAGATAGATAGATAGATTATTATTTCATTTTTTAAAAAAAGAATAAAAAGGATAGAGTTTTTTTCTGTCTTCTTCTTCGGCCTGCACTAACAATTCATGATTTTAAACTGTGTTCTCCGAATTATAATGGCTCGATGCTTGCGCTTGGTCAAATGAAATGAAGTCCATTTGAACAGGAAGTCAGTACTGAGATTAATCTGGTGTTTTTCTCTAGGAAATGATCAAGGATGTAATAGAATCCATTAGCGCAGAAACATCTTTTAAGGAAAGGAAATGAGTACGCAGACACGACATTGTGTCCTTGTTTGAGCTCTCCTTAACAAGAAAGAAGGCTGCCAGAGTTTCAGTTTTAAGACCTAATTTTGAAATCTTGAAATAAAAGGGAAGATTTAAGAGTCTGAGCATTTTTGGTTCCTTGTACTAAAAAAGATTCTCCCATTGGAGTTTTTCTGTCGGTTGAGTGTTGAGTATGAACGTGAATTGAAACCCTAAAACAGGGTTTCCTCAATCTCGGCGGCTGGAAGATGGGCGGACTTCAACTCCCAGAATTCCCCAGCCAGCCTTGGCAGGCTGGGGAATTCTGGGAGTTGAAGTCCGCCCATCTTCCAGCCGGCCAAGTTTGAGAAACATTGCCCTAATACAGGGATGTCAAACTCAATTTCATTGAGGGCCGTATCAGGATTGTGGTTGACCTCAGGGGGGGTCGCCCGGGCGTGGCCGATTGGGTGGGCGTGGCCAGCTTGATGCCACTCCCTAAACTGCTGGCATGTTTCCTCTTCACACTGGGTAGACTGGGCCGAAGCCATGCTGGCCCGATGTAGACTCTTCACACTGGGTAGATTACATGCAGTTCAGTAATTGCAGAAGTTTTTTTTTTTTTCTTATTTTTATTAATTTTCTTAATGCAAACCTGTTCATAAAACGCAGCTGTTTTGCATTTCCTCTAAGGGGAAATGAGAGTTTCCTTAAATAAATTGACCGTAATGTAATGTATGATAGATTTCCAACAGGGGTAGTAGCCACAGTTTAAGCCTCATTGCGGGGATTGAAAATTCTCACTACTCTACTTACAGATAGTCCTGGACTTAACAACCATTCGTTTAGCGACCGTTCAGAGTTTAGAACGGCGCTGAAAAAAACCGACATGGCCATTTTTCACACTTGTGACTATTTTTCAAACTTACGACCGTCGTTGCAGCATCCCCGTGTTCATGTCATCCAAATTCGGGACATTTGGCAACTGTCTCATATTTATGACGGTCGCAGTGTCCCATAGTCATGTGATTCCCCCTTTTGCGACCTTCAGACAAGCAAAAGTCAAGGGGGAAGCCGGATTCACTTAACAACCGGGTGGCTGCCTTAAGAACGGCAGCGATTCACTTAACAACTTTTGCAAGAAAGGTCGGAAAACGGGGCAAAACTCAGCCGTCTCGGTTAGCAGTGGTGGATTTTGGACTCTATTGGGGTCGTAAGTCGAGGACTCCTTATACTTATGGGCCGGACCAAATTGTAGACCAGCTATGGACATGGACCAGGGGTGAAATCTAAAATTTGTTACTACCGGTTCTGTGGGCGTGGCTTGGGGGGGTTAATGTGACTGGGTGGGCGTGGCCAATTTTTTTTTTTTTAACTTTTAAAACCATTTTTTCTACAACCTCTTCTGCGAAGAGGTTGTAAAAAAATGCTTTCAAAAGGCTCTGACGATCCCAGCTGAGTTGCCTGATCCACAGAGGCTTTTTTTCTTTTAAATGCCTCTTCCGATTAGGCAACTCATCTTGGATCGTCAGAGGCATTTAAAAGAAAAAAAGGGTTTTTTTTTCTTTTAAAAGCCTTTGATGATCCCAGCTGAGCCACACAATCATCAGAGGCTTTTTTTTTTAACTTTTAAAAGCATTTTTTCAGCCGAAGAGGTTGTACAAAAAATGCTTTTAAAAGTAAAAAAAAAAGCCTCTGATGATTGTGCGGCTCAGCTGGCCAAAGGGTGGGGGGGCAGGGATTTTTGCTACCGGTTCTCCGAACCACCCGCCTCCATCACTACCGGATCGGGCGATCCGGTCTGAACCGGGAGCATTTCACCCCTGACATGGACACACGGTTATTGTGATTTGGAGTTTTAAGATCAGAAGCATGGGAAGGAGTTGTGTTTGTCATCTTTAAAGGGGGCTGGAGATTTGGAAGGGTTTAAAGGGTGCTGGGGATTTGGAAGGGTTAAAAAAAAAACATATGAAGAACGATTGCGGGATTTGGGTTTGGCCAGTCTAGAGAAAAGAAGGACTAGGGGTGACATGATATCAGAGTTTCAATATTTGAGGGGCTGCCCTAAAGAAGAGGGGATCAGCCTATTCTCCAAAGCCCCTGAAGGCAGGACAAGAAGTAACGGATGGAAACTAATCAAGGAGAGAAGCAACCTGGAATTAAGGAGAAACTTCCTAACAGTGAGGACAATTAACCAGTGGGACAGCTTGCCACCAGAAGTTATGGGTGCTCCATCACTGGAGGTTTTTAAGAAGAGATGGGACAGCCATTTGTCTGAACTTATAGAGGGCAGGTTGAAATCCACAAGTCTTAAAGTTGCCAAAGTTGGAGACCCCTGGTATAGTATCTCCTGCTTTAGCAGGGGGCTGGACTAGAAGACCTCAAAGGTTCCCCCCCCCCAGCTCTATTCTATTTTGATTCTCGTTGACACTGTTTGTCTCCTGAAAATCCACCGCGTTCCGCAGACAATAATCTCTGCCCTCCGTCATCCCGGTGGCTACAGAAAAACCTTGGCAGCCTTTGAGTTGGCTAAATCTGTTGTTCGCTGTTCCAAAATTGTTTAGGAATTGATCCAAAACCAGTATAAGGGAAACAATAGCACTGGCTAGATTTTGTGCATCCATTATGGTTTAAAAAAAACAAGCGAACAGCCATAGCCCCAAATAAATGATTTTAATGCAGGATTCTCTTAAGAGCATCTTCCTGTTATACAGCACTTAGTCTTTCTGTCTGTTACTCTTCTGTGGTTTGTGATAGCAGCTACAAGTTCTGGTGCAAGTTACTCTTCTGTGGTTTGTGATAGCAGGTACAAGTTTTGCTACAAGTATTTCAGAAGATTGTTCAAGATCTGTGTTGGACCTGATCTTTGGGTGTTAAGTGAATTTCGTTGTATGGGTATACTGTGTATACACGTACAATGACAATAAAGTGATTATTATCATCATCATTATTACTATTCAATGATTTTAATTAATTTTAACTATGATATTGTATATTTATGTTTTTAATTGGCTGTACACCGCCCCGAGTCCTTTGGGAGGAGGGCGGTATATAAATAAAATTATTATTATTATTATTATTATTATTATTATTATTATTATTATTATTATTATTATTATTATTATTACTACTACTACTACTACTACTACTACTACTACTACTACTACTATCTGTATTCATTAAACATGAAACTCAGTCAACTGAACATTCAAAAATGCGTCACAAATACCATTGACTGGTCCTAATGGTTGATACGGGTTGCTGCCAGCGTCCTAGGGATCAACCAAGTACCTTCTTAAGATGTACGATGTTCCAAGTAGCACAGTTTTTTGCAGTTCCGCTGGTGTTATTGCAGGAAGCTGCAATTTGCTGATGTATGTTATAAAATTCTTGGACATGGTACTTTTTTTTTTTTATAACATACATCAGAAAAATTGCAGCTTCCTGCAATAATAATAATAACTGAGTTTCATTTTTAATGAATAAAAGAGAATAATAATAATAATAATTCTCTTTTATTCATTAAAAATGAAACTCAGTCAACTGAGCATTCAAAAATGCATCACAAATACCATTGACTGGGGCTAATGGTTCATATGAGTTGCTGCCAGCGTCCTAGGGATCAACCAAGTACCTTCTTAAGAGGTACGATGTTCCGATTAGCGCAGTTTTTTGCAGTTCCGCTGGTGTTATTGCAGGAAGCTGCAACTTGCTGATGTATGTTATAAAATTCTTGGACATGGTACCAAATGCCCCGATGACAATGGGTATCACTGTGACATGTTTCATCCATAGCCATGTAGTTTCGATGGCCAGATCGCGATATTTCATGATTTTTTTCCAGTTCTTT